TTGGGCTTGCATACGCTTTTTTTAAATAGCTTTATGGGTATTTTCAATGTATATATGTGGTCAGCAAGCAAGAGAAAACATGCTTTACCATGCCTTTGAACTTTTTCGTCATCCATGTGGGTTTCAACTCGCAATCCCAAAATGTCCTATAAGTCCGGTTGTCCCTGGGGGCGTCCTATAAGTGCGGTTGTCCCCCTCTGGAACGTGTGGGCAGGAAGCGTGCAGCCGAACACTGAGACCTCCCACATTCGACATCCCAATCGGAATTTCTGTCAGGCATTTGGGTGCAGCGTCGGCACAGGGGCACACGAAAGTGGAGGAGATTCTGAGCAAGGCGCAAGTAGTTGATTGGGCGCGGCAACTTAGTGAAATGTCAAGGATGTTCATGTCACAGTTCTGCAACGGAGGCAGACGTTCCGCAAGAAGCTTGGAGCGAAGTTTGCCAGGCCAAGGGCAGCACAAATCCTCGTTGAATTCTGGCAGCTTAGGACATCTGAGTTCGAAGAGTCTCCCGGCAAGCTGACACAGACAGAGAGCAAGAAACAACAAAGAGAGATGCAGCAACAAGACAAGAGTGCGAAAGAGCGAGGTGCATACGCAACCCGAAGAAGATAAATAAGAAAGATCGAGAGACCAACAATTTTTTTGAAACGAAAGACAGGCATAACGACACACAGAAATAGCACTGTAGCTACATGATTGAGAATATCATCAGCGGAAAACGATCCAGACAGAATGAGGAAAGGCATGTTCCAGAAGGGCCGTCGAAGTACTTGTTCTTAGTTGTACCAAGGAAATGTGCGCAAGTTTGAGAAGTGCAACAGGCCCTGAATCTTGAACTCGACCTCTAGAGCAACAAAGTGGCTCAACAAAAAAAGGATGCAGCAACTCGCAAACCCGGAGTCACCTTTGCCCTCCTAAACCGCTTGTAATGATCCCAAAACCCCTAAATCCTAATCCCTAAATCCCAAAACCCCGAGAATGGCCATGGGGCACTCCAGGTCCTGACGCAGCTGGCGGCAGTAGGCGTGGCCGAGGTCAAGGCACGCCCCGGCTCGGTGACATTGATTTGGGTTTAGGGTTTTAGGGTTAGGGTTTAGGGTTTTAGGGTTTAGGGTTTTTAGGGTTTAGGGTTTAGGGTTTAGGGTTAGGGTCTGGTTAAGGGTAGGGTTTACGGGTTTAGGGCTATAGGGGCTTCGGGTTTGGGGGGTTTAGGCATCCGGGGTCAGAAGACCAGCCTGGCACATGCCCCTGTACTTCTTGGTTCATGGTTGCCAATAGCTTGTCATTGCTATACCTAGTCCAAAACACCAGCATATCAGCACAGTCTCACACAATGCCCCATGGAGCCTTTTCTCTCGTTTGCGCCGTAACCCCAAGAACTCTAAACGGGCTGGTCGTTTAGCTTCAGGATTCGAAACCCCGAGATCCTTGAGGCCCCTGGCCTGATGGTGTCAAGCTTCTCAGTGCCCACAGGGAGAGATCCAGTTTTCAAGCCCATGTAGTTCGACAGTTGTTTGTGAGAGCACTCGTCGGGTTGCCTTGCGTGGACGGTAATCCTACATTACTACCAGGGTTCCGCCGCAGTTGCGACTTTAAAGAACCGTGTGATGCAGCAAAAGCACCCAACAGGAACCCCTGATGTAGAACTGCCTTCTGTGCAGTTGGAAAAGGGAGTTTAAACGCAATCCGAAGTGCGAAGGGGCCTTGTGTTCTTTCTTTTGCACTCGTTTGTACAGCAAGACATGTTGAACCTACAGCTAATGCATCGTGGCAACCCTACATAACCCTACCCAGCGGCCCCAGTCATGTTGCAATACTGGAGGCACGACAAACCAAACCCCCAAATCACTTTAAAGTTCGGGGATGCTGACTGGAGGAAGGCCCTGCGCGGCCAGCAGCGAGAAAGCGGCAGAGGAGCGTGGCCCAGGGATTCAGGATGCTCGTGGGATGCATGCGTTTGCAGCGCTGGAGGTTCACGCTCGACGAGAAACAAGACTAAACGTTTCCTAGGGCTTCGCGTGCAGGAAGTACTCGTTTTGCTTGAAATCTGGGACTTGCAAGTTCAGAGTTCAGGTTTGCAGAGTAGGGCTTGGCGATGGTCTTGTGTCAGTGTTCGGCACTGACGTGACGTGCCCCGCTGTGCCCGGAAGATGGCAGTCTAGTGCTTGAGACACTTGCTCTCATTGTCGCCCCACCGGAGACATGAAGTGCGCAGACAAACACAACCCAATCCCCGGGGTCGGTCAAGGCATGCTGGTTGCAAAATTCCAGAAGTGGACAAACGGCTCAGTTTCATGATTTCCCTTTGATGTGCACAACGCAGAGCTTGTCGGCAGGACCAAATAGGCGGTGCCCGCTTGTTCGCGCCTGCGGGAAAAGTGCTTGTGAACATTGTGATTGCTGGGCTCAGAGTTGGCTGGGAGTTGGAGTTCCGTGTCGTGAAGTGTACTTGGCATTTTGGGTCTAAACGCCTACACCCTACAGCTCGCCATTCAGAGACCTCGTTCGCACATACGAGCTTTGCGAAGCCACACACATTCGTGGTCAGGCAGGCAAGCCGGGTGGGAGATGGTGAACATTTAAAGATGGATTTGTTCATCGGGCTCTTGCCGAAGTTAGAAGCAGCATACACATGCGGAACTTGTCTGTACATGTACGAACATACCGAACATACCATGGTTTATGTTTCCAAATGAGGTCGGGGCTGGGGATGATCCCTTGCCGTCAGATGATGCAGGAGGCACGTCCCATTGCCGAGCTTGGCTGGCTAAGCCACCCTCAACCTCTTTAGTTCAACCTATTTAGGTCTAGCGCCAGATACTAGCGAGGATGCCAGCATGTCAGGGTTGCCGGCTGTCTTCAAGATTCGATAGTTGTCGACAAAGCTGCCCTATTCGACAACACCAGCTCATCAAATGAAAAGACATGACAACCTGCGACAAGGAGCAGGTTCTGAAACAGCAAGACAGATTTGAACAGGACCTCAATAGTCGTCACAATCGCAAGCAGCTCAGCAGCACAATCATAGACCAGCTTGTAATGCCAATATGTTCTCTTGTTTAGGGACCTTGTCCAACCCGAAGTCCTTGCCAGCAGCCCAAAAAACTGTGCGCGGCGGGCCAGTCCGCTAGTTTTTCAGCCAACCAACCCTTTGTGTTTGTTTCGGTGGTTTTCGAAATAAGATCTTTAGGTCTATAGGTCCTAGCAGTAGTGGCTGCAATCCATAGATGTCGCAACTGCCTAGGCTTGTCAAGCTTGAGCACATGCACACCAGACCAGCAGCGAGCAACCGTAAAGCTCTAAACTTTAAGGCTCCTCGCTCTGAAGCTTTCCACCCCTCAACCCCCGGCGTCTGCAACCCCGGAACTCACCGCCGCAGCTTCTCAGGCCCTGGCCGTCGTTGACAAGAATTGGGACGGAGAGCTCAACTTTGAGGAGTGCATGGCCCCAGATGGAGGATAGGGACTAGGATTTAAGGGCTACGTTTTAGAAACCTACAGCAGCAGCTTTAGATTGCTATGACCTTCAAGCCCATGGTTTTCAGGCATGGTCTGGTTGTGATTTATCTCGCATGGAAACCGTCATGTGTACACTAATCGATTCCTTGGTGTTCCGATTATATTTTTAGCAGCATACTTTCCCCGAGCCCGAAAAAGCTGGTGAAAGACTTCGTGCCGAAAGCCCGAAATCAGCGCAGAAAACTCCAAGCGATTTATAGTTCGAGTTGGGGCTTTTCGTGGTCTGTTTCGGATACAGGGTTTTCTACTTTCGCGGCAGGCCAGAGATTGAACCCAAAACCGCATAGGTCATGCTGAATTGAAGCCCCGTCCTGGAGCCCCTAGAAGGATCTTCGGGGCCTCAGGGCTCGGGGGAATTTGGGGCTTTCGGGTACTGGGCTTCGAGGGCTTTAAAGGCTGCCTTCAGGGAGCTGACCGTTGACGGCTCTAGAGCCTTCTCCTCCCAACCCCGGCACCTCCCTCTCTCTCTCTCTCTCTCTCTCTCTCTCTCTCGCTCTCTGTCTGCCCCCTTCTCTCTCGTTCGCTCTCTGCACATACACATACATATATACATATATACAAGCCCGACAAGGATGAATCCTGGAAGCCTTGAAGCCGATATTTTAACAATTTTCGACCCCAAACCCTGAAACTTTAGACCAGATGCCTTCCTGCTTGAGACGCTTGTTGCCCTGCTGCGAAGGTGTTTCTGGCTTCAGCCAGCGTGAACCGATTGTTGCGTTTAGATGTTTTTCGCAGTCCATCCTCTCCCACTACTCGTATTGTGCAAATACCAGCTTCTCTGTTCTATCATAGCGTCCAGCAAAGTGCAGCAAGACATGTGTTGCGATATAATCGTTCTGAATAGCTTCTGAGATTGAGAGCAGCAGCTTGAAGGCCTAGGCTTGATGAGCCCTTGGCAAGCGAGTGAGCCCCAACCGCGCCAACCACCCAAGCACCATAGAATCTAAAGGTGTGCTGAATTCTTTCAGCGAGTTTTCAATTCTTGAACGCAATCCGAAAGACCTTCTGCTGCGGTGATCAGCGTTTGGCCGTGATGCAGCCGGGAGGGCCAGCGTCGGCCTCGTAGATGGCGCAGGCGATGACGAAATGTTTGTTTGCCTTGCCGGTCAAGGTCCTACCTAGCTTTGAGGATGTAAATTTGAAGCTTCTTGGGTGTGAGTTTAGCAGTTCAGGGCTAAGGATTCCGTAGGGCCTCATGAAGTGGTTGGTTGGGGACTTGCAGCCTGGCTCAACTTGGGAATGCAAAAGCAAGAATCCGTAAACTTCGCGGTAAGCATTACAAGACGGCACAGCTCTGCATCCCACGTCTTTGCCATCGTGTGGTCAACGCGGATCACACGGCCTGCCCTTATAACATCAAAGCCGAAACCCTGGGGCCCAAACCCGGAACCCTAAACCTCAAGCCAGAACTATGCGGAGCCTTGCCTGCCTTCTGCGAGCGTGAGAGTCGAAACAACAAGCCTGAGCCCCGAGCAGGTGACACTTCCAATCCCTGCCCTGACACGCCAAGATTCGAGTGCCTCGGAGCCCCGCCGCCTGGCGACTGGTGGCAGAAACCTTTCAAAGGGAAAAACTTGAGAAGGAACGCTTTGGCTTGCAACTGGGTTAAGGGCAGTTGTGATGGCCTGACAGGGCCCTGAACTGTGTAAGTTTCCGCTTGAAGGCTTTACATTTGTGCAGTGGAATGACACGACCCAATCGTGGATTGATAGCTGCGAGCATAAAGCATCGGCTTTTGACAGGTCTCACAAAGATAGCGTCAGATAGTGCTTTTTGCCGTTTCATGTAGAGTTGAGATTGGGAAAAGAGCCGTCTTGAGAAGACTCCGAGGATCTTGCTGTAGACTCGGCTTGGGACAGCTCGTTTTGAGCGCGGCCACCTTCAGTGCTGGATACGCCTGTGGTCTGTCTTCAACCACCCTCAATGCGAGCTTTGTGCCGTCACTGTCCACCATAAAGCTGCCGGACATATGCCCGCCCTGCGTGCAGCAGCCGTGCTCGCCCTGCGACCAGGTCGCTGTACCATGCCCAGCTTCCCAGACATCTGCAGCCCCTGCAGCTACTGGTCATACCGGAATTTCTTTCGATTTGCGCACAACCAGTGCCACGACCACACCCGGCATAACCTCGAGCATGCCCCTGGCAGCTACATCAGAGGCCATTATTGTCAAGGTGTTTGCAGGCGGTGCCTCAGTTGCACCCGAGCCAATCTCTGACAGACAACAGATGAATTAGTAGCATAGTGGCATCGGCGGTACATCACTCTTCGACTGCGAGACACAGCAGCACAATGCCACCAGTATAGCAACCCCTAATCACCTAATCCTTCCTTCCGCCCTGCCTATACGGTCGGTTTGTGCCAGACTTTTCGTGACAACCAATACGGATGAGAGAGTGAACGTCGAGAGGGTTTGCGAGGGCTTTGGGGCTTGTTTAGACTCCGGCGTCTAATTGCTTACTACTATAGTTTGCAGAGACGTTGTGAGTAGAGAGCAACTCATCCGTTCGGTCCGGTCTTCAGAGCCTCCAGGCCCACAGCATACATGCAAACCTGATATAGCTTTACTGCCGGGCTCGTAGTGATACCCCCCCCCCCAAACCTCGCTTTTGAAACATAGTTCGAATATCGTGTGTCTGCGCAAGCGTCCTGGAGAGGTGGGTGACCAAACGACGCCCTTACTTGTAGAGTTCCACATAATCCCTTCCCCATGTTTTGAACTTCCTTCTGATGTCACAGACACTTTCTCGGAAATCCACATGAACTCATCCCCGCCTTTTAAAATCTCTTTGAACTAGGGGGATGTAAAATTTGGAGCAAGAGCAAGAGGAGCAAGAGCTGCAACAGGAGCTGGAGCAGCAGCAAGAGCCCGAGCAGGAGCAGGAGCGCGAGTAGGAGCAAGGGCCAGAGCAGGAGCAAGATCCTTCCCAAAGTGACAGTAGAGAGAAAATGCACCCTATAGTTTGTTCAATTCGTTTTTGTTGTTGGGGGGGCGGCCACCCCTCTTCTCTTTGATATCAGGAGGAAGGGATTCAGCCCTCGCTCTACAGGCAACGGCCGTTTGGGAAACAACATCGGCCAGTTGCTGCATGGCTTGGCATTTGCTCTGCGCGCCCTGGTGCGCAGTGGAAAACGCCTGTGATTCCCGTTCCTGATCTTCCGGCCCAAACCAGGTCTCGGACCCTGTGTACCCGACACCAAGCCCTAATTGGACCTTGAGCCGCGAACCCTGAACCTCGAACCGTTATCCAAGTCGACAGTTGGCATGTTTTCTTTTGCAACGTGTAGCTTGGATCAGCTAGTTGCATAATCTCTCGCGCACTCGCAACACAAGACTGCTTAGCTCTCATTCCCACTGTTGGATCCTCGCCTGGTCTTGCTCAAGGGTTGATAATCTGTCTAGATCTAAGCGGAGAGTGTATACTTTTCTGCTACATGGTTGATTTCCCTGGTTTTTGATGTTCGCTGCATCGGAGCTGCAACGAACGATGCAGGGTTGAGGCAGCACAGTCGCAGCACCTTCGCCTCACTAAGCTGGCATCGAGGGTACATCGGCACAGACGAATCATAAGTGTCCGACCGTTTGCCGTTGGGTACCCCAGCATGTGCACTCTGCGGAGCGACTTCGCGATTCGCAATGTGGTTCTTTGCCAGTTAAGACCTTACGTCTTCAGCTCTAGACTTGCCACACTAGGGGTCTATGAGGCTTACAAGTGCCGAAGTTATCAGTTCATGGCCCGAGTGCTTGCATAGACTGAGGCATGCATGCCGACTTAGTCAACCTCGTGGCTTCAGGCAGCGCGATATCTCTCAGGGTGCAGGATTTCGGTTGGAAATTGAAATCAATGCCAAAAGAATGAAAGAAGCATGATCGTCATGGCGATTGAATGTTTTTCTCATGGTTGCGATTAGTCATGTGTGGGAACATGGTTTGATCTTCTACCGTTACTATCGGTATTGCTATTGTAGCCGTGTGGCTTTCTTCTAATCAGCTGGTGAGTTTGTTCTCGGGTTGTTTTAGGGCAGTCTCTGACCTAAGGCATTATGAAGTGCTGAGAGACGTATGTGCCGTGCATGCAGATTCTCTGGGTGCTTTTCCTATTATAGTTGGGTAGGAGATGCTCTTGGAAGCACGTAAGCCTGACGACGATGTAGTCCCTCGTAGAGTCATCTCGGGAGGCTAAAAACGATCTAAATAACGTAGCGGCGGCCGTGACCCCCTTGAGGGGTTTTAGGGCTTTGGGGAGGGCTTGGTAGGGTCTGTGGTTCTCCGCAATTGCCCTGGTCGGGGGGTTTGGGAATCACCAAAAGCTCGAAACCAAGTCCCGATCACTCCAAGATAACTACCAAGACTCAAAACCTTTCATGTTAAAGACTTTTTCCTCCTGCCTACACTCCCCCCTCCAAAATCGACCAAGTCTGAGGCCTGGTACTGTACCGTAGTACAATAGTAGTACAGTACGAGGGAAGCTAGAGCTGTTTAGCGGGGTTTGGGGACCACCAAAAGCTCGAAACCGGGTTTAGGGTTCAAGGGGGTTGAGACTAGGGCCACGGGCGATTTGGGGTTTAGGCTTATACTGGGGGTTTCGGGCTTAGTTTAGGGAGAGATGTTCCAGATGCTTAGGGTTTCTGCCACGAGTGCAGGCGGGCATGTACAAGTCTGTGCAACAAGGGAGAGCTTGGGGCTTCAGGGCCAGGGTTTGAGGATTTGGAGGGGGGTTTTAGGTCGTGGGTGCCTTGAGATGGACCATTCGCAGAAAGGGAGCAACACAACACATAAGAAAAAAAACAACGGCCCACAGAAACCGGCCCAAGACGCTTATGGAGGCCCACTCGTCTAAACTGGCCGCCACATCATGAAAATATCTTCTGGAATGCCTCTACTGCAGGGGGCCAGCTGCCTCAGATCTTTGTTCTCAAGAACCTGACGATGTCCCTCCCAGGCGCCGGCGAGGCAGAGTGGGGCTTGCATGACTAGAGTTTCATGGTTCGCGGCCCGCGGCGCTCAAATTTGTGCAGAAACACACTTGCAGCATTCAAGAAGATGGTCAGGGCTCATGTTCAGACGGAGACAGCTCTGAAATCAGAGACTGGGGCTGATTTGTTGGTTTACATGACGGCCTCTGTAGCTGTTCGACAGAAGTTTGAGTTGAGATACTCAGCCCTTTCAAGTCTCGCAACTTTGACCCATGATTCGACGAGACCGACCCCTGTTTATGAACCCTAACCCCTTAACCCTGGGAACCCTGAGCCGTGAACTCGTCCTTTGCCAAGGGGCCACGCAACATCCCGAAGGAATGCATGCAGGCTGCGATTGGCTCCAGGATGAAGAAGGAACCGCCTTTCGGCTCAATTCCCTCTGATGCCAGACTTTGCTGTTCACAAGATAGAATTCGGCGAAGCATGCCTCTCTTTTGGTCTGGTTGGTTGTCTGTTTGCCTGTCTGCATGTCTGTGTGTTTCTCTGTCTGTCTCTCTCCCTCTCTCTCTTTAGCCCCCCTGCTCTCCAATATGTACGTGTCTGTTTGTCTGCCTATCTGCTGTCTATTCATCCATCAGTCTCTTGCCTATCTACCTGTATCTCGACCTATTTCTCAGGATGACATAATAACATCAGGCAAGTCAAGCCAAGTGAACTCACGGAGGTGGATGGATGGATAGATAGTGGGTGGATATGTAGGATAGATAGAAACCAAAAAACCAAGAGAGACTGATATTTATTCGCGGTAGATAGACAGATAGATGGACAAAGCTGTCCGTTCAGAGATAGATAGGTAGGTAGATAGATGCGTAGGTAGGCAGGTAGGTTGATTGATTGCTTGGTTGTTTGATTGAGTGAGTGATTGACTGATTGATCGTTTACTTGATTGATTGACTGATAAAGCATCTATGTCCGTCGGTCTGTCTGCCTCGCTGGCTGGCTAGCTAGCTGGCTGGCTGCTGTGTAGGTATGTTCTGTCTGTCTGTCCATCGGTCTGTCTGTCTGCCTGTCTGTCTGTCTGTTTGTCTGCATGTATGTTCGGTGGCCGCCGTACATAATAAAGTATGTCTGTAAGTGTGTGCGCAGGTGTATTTGTACCTGTGTATGTGTATGTGTATGTGTGTACGTACGCATGCATGCATGCATACGTGGATGTATGTGTGTGTGTGTTTGTTTGTTTGTGCGTATATACGTAGGTACGTACGTATGTATGTATGTATCTATGTATCTATGTATCTATGCATCTGTGTATCTGTGTATGTGTATATGTATGTATGTGTATATATATATATGTGTGTGTGTTTGTGTGTATGTGCGTATGTATGTATGCACGCATGTGGGGTATGTATGTGTGTGTATGTGTATGTATGTACCGATGTATGCATGCATGTATGCATGCAAGCAGCATGCAAGCATGCATGAATGTATGCATCGCTGTACATGTAGAGTTTAGATTGTAGGTGCTTATGCAACTGTATCAATGTGCAATGTATACGTGTATATGTATATATATATACACACATACATACACATACATGTGTGGATGTTTCCTCTGTTTTATCACGCAGAAGCATTGCACAGTGGTGCTTGTAGACCTGCATGAACACTCATGCATAGCTTCTGGTAGACGCTTGTGCAGTTGCAAACACATGTTGCATTGAGGCACGTATGTTCTTGTTTCGTCCGCACACACACACACACACACACGCATAAAGACTAACATTCCCAGGCGCGTGTGTCGGTAAGAGGAATATTTGTTCCTACAGACACACATGTGGGCATCCATCCTTGCATGCTTATGCACATGCATTCGTAACGTCCCACTTAGTTGTTTACATATGTATTTACACTGATCTGTCTGCCTGCCTGTCTGTATGCAAGCACGAATGCATGCATGCATGTCTGCATGTGCGCTGCACACAATTGTGCATGTATGTACCTGCACAGTTCATGTAGTACCTATATTATCCATTGTAGTTCCTGTTTTGGGATCATTTAGGTTCCTTCTTACAAAATTAATGGGTTAAACCAAGGCAAGAAACAATGGAGGCTACAGGTACATGTCGACACAGCATTCCGCGCTTTTTTGACTGATCTCAAGCTCTGCCGAAACATGACGGTACATGTTCCCGTCGGTATGGTTTGGCGTTCCACCATTCTTCAACACACTGCAGACCAAAAAACCCTGTGCGCAACAGAGAGTCTTCCCAGTGACAGGGATCGATGGTTCAGGTTGCAGGGATCCAGGTTTCAGGTTGCACCCTCGTTTGAGCTCACCGTGACTTCCAGACAGTAGGTGTCATGCTCAGGACACGGATACCTTAACCTTAGATTACTGCCGACCCATCCCAGGAACACCTATGCCGGAGGCTTCTGGACGACCCGGTGTGACAAGGTGCCGGCAAAGGAGACAGAAAGCCCTCATTGTGAGATTTGTGCACTTCAGGGCCCAACCCCCCTGCCCCCCTCCACCTCCAAAACGAAGCGCCGTCGACTTCGGAGTTGATGGTATATGTGCCCCGCAGCTTACCATCCCTAGCCCTAGCCAAACTCCAGGAGTACCATGAGCTGGCTCTGCAATATATCTGGCCACTTCTCAAGCCGGAGGTGCACCGTCAGGGCTCAGACTGGGCATTGAGGACCATATGTCCAGGGAGGTGGCTTAATGTAGGGGCCTTGCTAAGCAGCTTGGAATTGTTTTTGGGGAGGGGGGGGAGTTTTATACTTGCGATTCGTATACGCACACCGGGACTATACAGAGCTTTATCCAACATTTATCCAGAAGCCGCAGTTTGCTTAAACTCATAAAGCCTTGAGCTGGAATGTTGCTGTATAGATTCCAGAGCATGTGCTTACCGTAGCAATCCTGAAAGACCATGATGATTAATGGATCTTGGCAGTGTCTTTGTCACATAAAGATACTCTAAGCCCTTAACCCCGTAGTTGCATCCGTAAGCCCTGAGCCCTATAAACCCGTATTGTATTTTTTATTTGCGGATCCTACTCTAAACCCTCAGCCCTTGAAATGCGAAATCAAGAAAACAACTATCCCCTAAACCTTCAACCCTAAACCCTGTAGGCCCTTGCAGTATCTTCCCGGAGCCACCCCAGGTCAAAGCTTGCCTCGAAGGTCCGGACGAGGAGACTCAGTCTTAGGGGTTTCTCAGCCGGACTTCGAGTAGTCGAGTAGGGGCCAGGGGGCGGGGGCGGGGGCTCCAGCATGATTGTGGAGTTTAGGGCTCTCGGGTGTCAGGGTGTGAGATTCGTCGGGGGTCCGCAGACTCCGCAACCCTTGAGTAAGAAATCCGCTGTAAACCGAAACCGCAGGTCTAGAGGCATGAGTTATAGCAGTTTCCTTTATGAGGCGGCGTTGGAGTCCTTTGGCTTCTTTGGTTTTGTAAGCCTCCCGAATCAAAAGAGCAAGCAGCGAGACACGGTGTCGTCGACTGCATGGGTTCCGCTTGGAAGTCTTAGGGCTTTCCCTTCAACTGTAGGCTTTTTTCAGTATTTGGGAGAAGTCTTGCCGTCTAGTTAGTCTAGTTGGAGAGATTGCATTCCGAATAGAAAGCTTTTGGGCTAGCACAGATTCAGTCGCGAGTTGGGCGTCGCGACTCCCCAGGTTTGGGGCGGACTGGCAGTAGAAGGAAGCAAGATCCTGAACCGGCCGGGATATAGATCGTAATTGGAGTCTCCTGCGACAGGCGCCCGGCACGGAGCAGCAGTTGACAGTCCACCTGCGCGGGAACGACCTTTGGAACATGGGTGAGTTCGAACTGATGCCTAAGAAGCCTGTGAACATGGAAGCTGGCGCACACCATTGGCTTTGGGCAAATCCTCCCTGCACTATGTATGAGAAAATCATTCGCGAGGAAGGGTTTACGCAAGTGCTGATCGTAACTTCCCCTGACAGACGGCACGCCTGCGTCCCTTGGTTTGAAAACTTTCGAGAGCGAACGGGCCTTAACGTCAAGATCACGCTTCAGACAAACTCGTTGGCCGAAGATTTCTGCACACTGGCCCGAGCGAGGAACCTGGTCCTTTCCTTCTCCACCCTGTCGAATGCAGCAGCGATCATGAGCAAGCGGGTAAAGCGCGTTTACCTGCGGCAGTTCGCTCTTAATTCAATGATGAACTGTGATATCTGGCCGGATGTGTCGATGGTGCAATACAGCATGCCAATTTCCGAGGCGCATCACGAGCCGTTCAACAACACCTATGCAGGTGTGACGGAATGGTTCCAAACATATAACATGAGTCTCATCACCCGGTCCCCATCGTGCAAGTGACAAAACATCGGCCGTGAATTACGGTGTTTTGGGCTTGGGGCCTCCGAAGTAGATTTGGCGATCCAGGGTGTTGAGTGGGGTCTGAGTCCAGGATGTGCTGCAAGAACTTGTGCTATGCTTTGACAGATAGCGCACCTTCAGACACCAGCATCGAAGCCGAGGTGCATCGATCTTCTGCGTTGTTTCGTTGGTAATTTCAGTTTCAGCTACAAGTTGTGTTCGTGCATTGGTACCGCTGCCCGGGGCCTGTTGCATGCAAAACACAAGCCCCCAAACCTTACGCCACACCCTGAGCCCTCGGCCTTTGTGGCTCTTTCGCTGCTGCTTCTCGGCCACAGTGTAAGAAGAATATTCTACTTCCAGGGAGTTACTCGTCATGGCTGTTGGACCCTGTCTTCCACGTGGCGGTGCAGAGATAGAGTGTCTCGGCTCAGTTGGCTTTCTTCGGTTTTGGGCTCCCAGAATCTCCTCCGTAAAACGGTTTCGATCAGCACCCCGCGGGCCCAAGTATTAACATTGTGTCGCATACTTGCGCCCTATAGACCCTTACACTCTAAACCCCCGAGAGCCCTGAGTCCTCAACTCCTAAAGTCCCTGCCGCAAACCTTTGCCCATTCAGCCCCACACGGAAAGCTACTACATGGAAGCTCGTTACAGGCCGTGGGAATTCAATGTCAAGGTTCGTCTCGGTCGTTCCCGCTGCTGCTGCTGCGGCTGCTGTTGCCAGTACTTCTACTACTATTTCTACTACTACGACGACGACTTCTACTACAACTGCCAGGATATAATAGTTGATTTATTAGTGCTATTGCTATTGTTGTTGTATCGCCATCGTTATTGCTAGAGTTGCTTTTTTCAATATCATTGTTAATATTATTCATAGTAGCCGTTGTTGCCATTATCATTATTAGTACGTTCATCGTGTCAGTGCTGTTTCTGCCGCTGCTGCTGCTACTAGCAGCATGACGAGGACGGGCAAGCAGCACGAGCAGTTGTTGCAGTATCAGCAGCAGAAGCAGGAGAAGCAGCATCGGCAGAATCACCCAAGGCAACAGGATGTTGCGTTGCCAAGCACTAACGATTCGCGTTTTTGTCAGCGTTATTCGAAAATGTCTCTCAGCCTTTATCCGTCCCCTCAACCCGAGGCCACTGTATCTGTCCGTGGCAGCACCTCCACCCGGGCCCGGGCTTCAACGTTCCGACTCCTTGATCGGCATGATCTGTGATTACTTTTCCTTTTTGTTGGCTTCGTTGGCGTATTCTTGACAGTGCAAACCCTATAAATTTCGAGAGCGATGACCTGCAGGCGTCGCCATAACCGCGCAGTAAAACAGACTGTAGTATTGAGAGTCCTTGTCGTGAGGATCCGACACCTAAATACCGCACCCGGATATTCAGGTCATTGAGCTCCCACCGCTCATCCCAGCAAAAGGGAGTGAGCTGTTCAAAATCAGCACGTGGCAAAGTGTATACTATGCAGAAGCTCCTGCAACCTTAATGAAGCTATTCAGAGATTATGGATAACGCTTGGACATTCATTACAATAAGGTGTAGGGCGTAGGGTCCCTACAACATGGATATTACCATTTTGGCATACTTTGGCTCTTGCGTTGTCGTTTTGTTTCTGACCCTCCCAAACATACGACAATCCCAAAGCAATGGGCCCAGACCGGCCTGGACCCTCTTTCGATGAGTATAGTCATTAACCCCCATGCAAGAATCATCAGCCCCAAAAAAGTTTGCGCATAAAGCCCCAAGCTCTAAACCTCGGCATCCTAAGCCCAGGAACCTTGCCCTGAGTCTCAACCAAAGCCCAGCAAGCATTGTAGTGCACGGTCTTTGGACCCCAAAGCCCTAAACGATTCTACAGGGCCCCAAACCCAAATCCTTAGTTGAATGCTTGCGGAACCCGCGTAGAAGCCTCACAGAACCTTTATGGAACCACTGCCGAACACGAAACCCTCGGGTGCCAAGGAACTGCCAATGCTGCTGCCTGGTGGCCTCGGCATGACGGTCTCCAGCGAGCCGCGGCCTCTGGGGGTAGTCTCAGGGTTTTGGGGTTCAGAGTTTGGTTTTAGAGTGCAGCTTTTCGGGTTTGGTATTTTTTGAGGGGTTTGCGGCTGGTGTTTGGTGTAGGGGAGATGTATTTGGGGCTTTTAACCTAACTCGTTGGATTCGATGATGACTTGGGCGATTTAGGGCGCTGAAAGTCTTTAGGGGCATTGGGATTGAGGGCGTACGTTGAAAGGGTTGGGGCTTTGTGGTATAGGGGTTTCAGACTCAGATGCTGTGGAGAGAACAAGGGATATCGCTTGCAAAATCATGAAACTCAACAAAAAACGACAAGACCTCAGAGGGTTTCTGAGATGTAACAAGGTCAAGGGTGCGGGATTGGGGTTCAGTTGGACTTCGGGTTTACTCTATGTTTTTGTCCACAGCTCTGCGAAGCCAATCCTACATTTAGTGCCCTCCAGCCTTGTGCCAACAGCATAAAGGGCACAGAGAGCCCGTTCAGACCAGTTGCAGAAGCTTGTGTTGATGCGATGGTAAACAAGGGTTTACGTGATTGAATTAATGACGCTTCGAAAGAAAAGTTTGGTTTCCGAGTAGATTACTGGATGGACGTCCTGTTATGGACCTTTTAGGCGGTGTGACTTCTAGCAATATGAAAGGAGAATTACGGACCAAGCGCGTAAGCAAGTCTTAGCAGCCTTCCTCCCGCAACCGCCTTTTGGCTAGCCAGCCCGGCCTGCGTCCATTGAGAGAGATCTGAAATGACCATGTCCCGAAGGCCCAGGCCCCAGATGAAGGATCTGCATCCTAGCCGGTCCTTGCGCCCGAAGCAACTCCGTTCTTGGCAAAGCAGCCCTATTCTCAGCCAGACGCCCCGGAGCCGAAACCCGGCGAAGCCTGAAGCTCTGACGCCCGCAAGGGGAACTCCCGCAACAAAAAATCTGCGACGAAAAGAAACCCTGGTGTTTTAACCCTTGCGCCGAAAAAGGCCTAGCCCGCAGCCCTCCCGCCCACCCGAGAAAAAGAAGCGAGCCCACAAAGACTCCGCAGAAATCATAACGTGGCAACACCTAGAAACCCTAAACCCAACTAATTTCAACAAGCCCCAACCCGGAAGAGGCTTCAGAAACTTCCCGCGGCAGCTCCGGACTACGGCCGGCCACGCAAAGGCGGCCTGAAGGCCGCCAAGTGGATGAAGCCTCGGCTGATGTCGGAGGAGGATACCGAAGTGAGACAGAGAGAGAGAGAGAGAGAGAGAGAGAGAGAGAGAGAGCGAGAGACTGAGAGAAAGATATAGCGATGCATATACACATATCTATGTTTATGTTATGTGTATAGAGTATAGATGTTTGTATATGTGCACTCCTCTGCATATATATATATACATATATATACATATATATATGAACATATATATATATACATATGTATATACACACCTATTTATGTGTATGTATAGGTGTATGTGTATGTGTACATGCACGTACATTGAGCCACTTGATCATCCCTTGACACAGCCCTTCAAGCGAGTACCGGTAGCTTGTGTGGAGGTTCGCCTACCTCTACGTACATACATGCACACACATGTATATGTAAGCGTATTTCAGAGACCGTTAGATGGATAGATAGATAGACAGATGGATAGATGGATAGATAGATAGATAGATAGGAAAGTAGGTACATCCACAGATAGATAGATAGATAGATAGTTAGTTAGATAGGTAGATATGTGATTCCGACACATTTTCCAAAGCTAGGTAGGTAGGTGTGTGTGTGTGTGTGATTGTGTGTGCATGTGTGTGTGTATATATATATAATACAGATTACATATATATATATATATATACATACATAGATACACACATGCGAATCGATCTATCGATCTGTCTATATTTCTGTCTGTCTGTCTATATGATATATGCATGCCTGATTCCCTCTCTCTCTCTACATATATGTATGTATGTATGTTTATATGTATATTCGTGTGTATGTGGATATATATATATATATGTACGTATGTAAATGTGTATATATATATACATACATACATACATACATAGATACACACATACATGTATATCCACATGTGTGTTGTTTGGACGTGTATGCATGTGTGCATGTATGCATACATGCATGCATGGATGAACATATGCGTGTGCGTACCGGTATACGTATGCATGCATTGCATGTGCACATACCTCTACATTTGCGTGTGCACCTACATGTGCATGTGCGTGTGCATGTCTATGTAGCAAGTACATGTGCTTGTGCACGTGCCTACAAACGTACCTTCCTCCGTCACCGCGAGAGACGCTCACGATGCCTCCATGGGCAGTCTTATGGCCGGCAACATTGTTGCATGCTGTGCTGGCACCCCGAAATTCCGAGACTCTGAACGTTTTGCTCAAACTATCTGAAACACGAAATAAAGGCGGTAATGTGAGAAAATAGGTTGTCCAACAACCAGTTCAGTGTCCTGCCCGGGTCTGATTGCGCCAGGTGATGAAAAAGTTTTGTGAGCTACAGGTTTGTTCGCTACCAAGCCGCGGTGCAACATTCACTACGAGTGCCCACAATTCTCCATGATCTACCACCTCAGTGCCAGTGGGAGAACTAAGACGGGCCTGCCAAAAGTCACAAGCCACTGGGCTGAACACTTCAGCGAAGTGTACATGCACACATACATCCATACATACATGTGTATGTGTGTATATATATATACACACAAGCATATATATGCACATGCATGCACCTGTGTCGTTTATGCCAGTCCCTAACCAGTGGTAGACAACCTCTATCGCAGCCCAAGTCCTACATGCAATTCGCAGGTGTGGATCGTTTTAGGGGAACTTCCATCAAGGCAACTATGTCAAGTTGCAAGATCTAAGCACGAAGCCGCATTATTTCAGGACACACCTTGCTCTGCTGAACTCATCACAAACCTTCTTGGAGTCGCAGAGCCAACTGCCAGGAGTCATCCAGCAGGG